CTGGGCCGGGGCCCCTTTGGAGCGTAGGCCCGGCGCAGTGGCACCACTGGTGCCATTGTAAATCCAGTATTGGTTCCCACCTCAGAAAGTCCCTGGCCCGGTGAGTGCAGCAGCCCGGGTTGGGCTTGAAGGGGCTGGAGCAGTGAGGAGCTGATAGGAAGGAAGGCAGGAAAAATAAGGAAAAGAGCTTTCAGAAACTCCTGGAGGCCTCAGGGGTAGTTTGAGAAACTACTATGTGTAGGAATTTCCTACTTAGGGTGCACTGAGCACGCTCACATGAACTGAGCATGCTCCGTAACATCTGCTGAAGCCACTTCTCTTCACCCTGCCCTTACTTGGAATCAGAGTCTGTGGACTTCCTTTTACAGGGGTTAAAAAGGGGCAAAGGGGGCAAATAAGAGGAAGGGGTTGGCCAAGGTCTGAGCAGGGAGTGGAAATTGACTGGTCGGGGGGTCAAGCAGCTGGAGGCAGGGTTAGGATGGGAGCAGAGGGGCAAAATCAGGGATGGGGGGGGAAAGGAGCTGGAGTTAAGCCCAGGGGAAAGGCGCTGCCAGAGGGTGACACAGGGCAAAACCGTTGGTAACAGTTGCCTCGGTGGACTGATACACCAGTGTTTGCAAAAATAGGAAAGGGGGCAGAGGGGCTTTTTTATTTCCCCTCCCACAGACAAGTACCTCTCAGCATGGGCTTCCCAGGGCTGGGTTCTTAAAGGCCTCTCTGTCCAGACCCAGGCTAAAAGGAGATTAGTCTGTAAAAGAGAGCATTCTGGAACTAGTGAGGATCTTATCTGTATTCAATTTGATTAGACATAGATTTGCACATTTTATTTTATTTTGCTTGTTGACTTACTTTATTCTGTCTGTTACTACTTGGAACCACTTAAATCCTATTTTCTCTATTTAATAAATTCACTTTTTACTTATTAATTATCCCAGAGTATGTATTAATATCTGGGGAAGGGGGGACAAACAGCTGTGCATATCTATCAGTGTTATAGAGGGCAAACAATTAATGAGTTTACATTATATAAGCTTTATACACGGTAAAACGGATTTATTTGAGTTTAGCCCCCATTGGTAGTTGGGCATCTGAGTGTTAAAGACAGGAACATTTCTGTCGAGGGCTGGCTTTAGCAAGTGTGGGGCTCGATTTGTGGGGCTTGTACTCACTGGGCGGCGCTCCTAGTCTTCAGCGGCACTTTGGATTGCCGTGCTCCGGCCAGGGTTGCGGGGCCACGGGGTTGTTGGGCTCTGGCCGGAGCTCTGACCGGGGAGTGGTGCCGCGGGACTTGCCAGGCTCAGGCCAGTGCTCCGTCCGGGAGAGTGGGGCCGCGGGGCTTGCTGGGCTTGGGCTGGCACTCCGGCCGGGGGAGCGGGGCCGCAGGGCTTGGGCCGGCACTCCGGCCAGGGGAGCAGGGCCGTGGGGCTTGTCAGGCTTGGGCCGGCGCTCTAGCCAAGGGAGCGGGGCCGCAGGACTTGCTGGGCTCGGGACGGCGCTCTGGCCAGAGGAGTGGAGTCGCGGGGCTTGGGACGGTGCTACGGCCGGGAGAGCGGGACCACGGGGCTTGTTGGGCTTGGTCTGGCACTCTAGCCGGGGGAGCGGGGCCACGGGGCTTGGCGGGCTGGGGCCAGCACTCCGACTGGGGGAGCGGGTCCACGGGGCTTGCAGGGCTCAGACCGGCACTCCGGCTGGGGGAGCAGGGCTTGCAGGGCTCAGACCGGCGCTTTGGCTGGGGGAGCGGGGCCACAGGGCTTGCAGGGCTTGGGCCAGCGCTCTAGCCAAGGGAGCAGGTCCGTGGGACTTGCCAGGCTTGGGCTGGCGCTCCGACTGGGGGACTGGGGCTTGCAGGGCTGTAGCCGGTGCACCAGCCAGGGGAGCGGGGCTTGGGTCTGCGCTCTAGCCAAGGGAGTGGGACCGCGGGACTTGCCAGGCTACCGTGAGTCA